CACGGCTAGGGTTGGCTGGAAGAGATCTCTTATCTCTAATAAGCTCACCTTTGTATATGTCCATTGTAACGTGTGTTTCATATGTCTTTTCTTTGTACAATAAAGAATATATATATATAATATGGATAATTTTTGGTATCGAGTACATTCCTTTGGGTATGGATACTTTTTATTCGATACTGCATGGGTCACATCACATTGTTCCATAAATATGTTGTAGTGCTTAGAATAATAAGGCATAGAATGATAGTTTCATATCAAACGAACTGTCACAAGTGAGGCAAAAATCAAATTCATGTAGGCTAGTTTTAGTAGTAGGTTAATTTTCGGTTTTAGTGAATATTTATATAAAAATACAAGTTGAAACGCGTTACTTCCTCGTGGAATGTGATGTTAGTATCTATTTTATGTTTGTCTGACGTATTTTTACACTCATTTACCGCACATTTCGTCATTTTTAGCTAAAATTCTGGAGCTGTTCGCGGTGCAAGTTGACCTTGAGCACTGAAGGCCCGCCCGCTCGTGTAGGCCCTTTGGGCGCGTTTCAATTTGCCTCACTTAGCGTGTGCGGACTAGGTTTCTATGCGTTATTATTCTAAGTTGTAGTGATAGTACGCAGATATTTACAAAGAATAACACTGGCTTAAACTTTAACGCATTAATACTTGGTTTAAAATTCGGGACTTAATCGTGTACAAATACATAATATATTTTTCACCTCACTAGCTCGGAAATGCTTTCTTTCTTATTAGAAATCTGCGCGCAAAAGGTTTTTGAAATTCGAACTTGACGAAATACTGTGGTGCATCCATTGACTTACAAATAAATGGACGACGGGTCTAATACAAAAACCACGAAAAAAATGTCCCAAGTCCAACCTATTTAAACGTAGTGACATGTAAAGGAATATGAAAAAGCTAAAACGTTGAATTTAAATTGTAATGTCATCGCAGTCCTGTCTAATTCTGCTTGCTTTGCTGTCAGTCGAACAAACGAAGACTAAAGCGTGAATGACGCTCTGTATACGATTTTAACGCCCTATAAGTTCGGCCACTTTTTAGCGCGGACCCGACGTCCATATAATTGTAAGTCAATGGTTACAACGGTTTTTTTTGCTGTAGTGTATTTCTATGAGAGACCTATGCAAATTTTTTTTTCACTCAGCCAGGTATATTTTTATCCAACCGTATCAAAAGAATATTTCTTTGTGTCTGTTCGTATCATTCATAACATCACAATACAATTATCAACTCGTGTGTATTAACTTCGTTCAAAGTCTCGGTAATTCTACTTTGCCTTTTCAGTTCTCTGGTGATAAAGGATAATGATACACCTTCAACAATTTAATTATTGCATTAACATATAGGGAGGCCACTATAGGTGAAGTCTAAACTTATGTTCTTTATTGACAGCATTTTAACTTGAACAGTTTTTGTATTGTATGACGTAGTTTAGTACCTTAATGGTTTGTCCTACCGCTTCTCTAGTAGGGAAGTCCGGGCACCTCTGAGTTTTTCGGAAAAGCTGTGCAAAATTTAATTTTAAATATGTGGGACTTCCCGAACTTCTCTTACCAGGATGCGAAGGACGTCACGTTTAGAAAATAGTTTTACTTTAATTTTAATATGGTGTCAGAAAAGATCATAACTTTAAACTAACTTCTTTCTATTAACTAAAGGTTCATAATAATATTACAGTTAAATTTCTTTACACACAAATTTTCCTCTTCAATTTGGTCAAGAAACATTTACTAAATGTAATAATACGTTTTAATAATAATAGCAATGGGGTACATTTAATAAAATATTGATATTGCACAATTTATAGAAATTATATTTTCTAAATTTTTTTTTTCATAAGTCCACGTCGCTAGAGTTAAAAATGTCAGAAATTGTTTTGACTTATTTTTATTTTTAATTCTAAATAGGTAAATAAATTTGCAACATTTTGTAAAATATATTCATATTTGTCTGTAAATAAAAACTCTGGTTTTATTTATCTGTCTATTTTAATTCATGTTATTTTAAAATAAAACCTCTTACAACCTAAATAAGTCAAAACATTTCTTTTCTTAGGTACCGTAACATTTATTTAGTAGTATAAAATTTTCTAATATACTTTTTTATAATATGCAATAAATAGCGTTTTTTTTTTATAAACACGAATTTATATCTTTGTAATTTATCTTATGATCACAAAATATCATTTGCGAAAGACAGAGCTGTTTTTATAAAATAATAATAGGTAAATTTCCAGATAACTATATCAATTACCTGGTTTGGATTTTGCCGAGTGCACAGTAACGGAATTCAGTCCAAGGTTATACTACTCAGAACACCCAAAACCAATTTAGAAAAGTCTTTACAAATTGGTTCTACCTAGAATTGAAACCGATAGTTTCTCATCTAGCGTCTACTAAATAACAGCTAAGCCATCGAGATTGTAATAAATATGTACAACTTTAACTACTATAGTAACTAAATTTGTAGACCTAACAAGAGCTTGGATAGTGTGCTGAGTAGTCTTATAGCAGCCTTAGGAATATGTGATAGAGTTTAGTCAATGCGATGAATTCAAATGTAATTGTCTTACCTATGAAATAAAGACTATTTTAGTTTGAGTTTGAGCTTGGACGGTGATATATTCAATTGAATTTTTATTGAATAATTCATGACTGAAGTGACGCATGTATTCTTTATACAAGTGTTAATATTTGTTACTCACGTGTTTGTTGCATGTTCACCTTTAGTGCTTTATTTATTTAATTTTCTGGAACCATACTCCGTTTTTTATTGTTTTGAAGTTGTACGTCCGTGAAATGAGCAAATAAATAACTGAAGTGGTTGCAAATAATGTCGAATATTATCAAAGAGCTTGTTTTTTGCTGCTGAGTGTCATTAAAAGATATAGCTGTCACAAACTTTTTTAAATTTTGTAACCATAAGATATTTCAAAAAGAAATTCTATAATCTATTTTTATTAACATTTTTAATATTATTTTCTTTTATAATTCTTAATACTAATTATATTTTCAAAATCTCACTATCTGTTTGTTCAAACTCTGAATTTTGAATTTGAATTAGTACTTTTTTTTGTAAGTAATTATTTAATAAAATAAACGTAATTAATAGCATTGCTTCGTAATATATTATATTACGATTTTATTAAACTATATAAAATCATTATTGAAGTAATTTTATTATAAAATTAAGAATAAGGATAGCAAAATGAAGAATACTCAATAAACAAAATATTCTTATTTTGTATATTACGTGTGCATATTTAAAACAAAATAACACAGTAATAATATTAAATAATTAGATGTATAAAATGGTCGTATACTTTTTTAGAATATAAAGTTTCATAAATATTATTAGAGTGTTATTTTGTTTTAAATAATAAAACCAATAATTATAGAATTTAAAATCAAGGCGGTAATATTAAATATTTATAACTTTCGGCTCTTATAAGTAAATTTGACAACCTTCTAGATTTTAAGGTTATAATTGATATTTTACATAATGTGACAAATATGGCGTCGCTTAAATTTTACGGCAGATTTAAGTACAATAAAAAAAACCATAAGATGTACTGACCTGTTTTATCGTTATCTGACGATTGTTAATCGTCATTTGTTTCTCAGTGGGGTTAAGAAACAATCGGAATTTCACTCGCTATCGCTTCTTTCAAGTTCAGTTATTTACATTAAATAGATGTGGACCCCGTAGCAATATCTCGCGTACTACAGTCTCTTTGTAAATCACCTGTGTCACAATTTTCATTATCGAAAACATCATCTTGTATATCTTCCACATCATCCAAACTTGCTTGCCCTCCCTTCGCTGCCTGATCATTTGCAGCTGCCGCATTAGGGCATACAGGTTTCGGACATTTCATGGCGTTATCTTCGAAGGTTTCGTCAATAATTTCAAGTCTCGATTTTGAAAAAAACCGTCTTAGACTCTCTATTTTGTCCAAAGCTCTTTCATTTTTCTCCAAACTGCTAGACAGTGATGTATCTTCTGTATTACATGACGAATTGATGCGTTCCAATAAGTCCGAATTTGATTCCGAAATTTCCGTTGTTGACGTGGATTTGTCGAATTTTTGCACTTTCGGTTTAATTATCATGCTTGGCGGCAAATCGGGAATATGGCGCAAATCTATTAAACTTATCGAAGATCTTTTTAAGCTGGACGTAATATTGAATTCACTATCGTCAAATCTATCTTCAACCCTTTCATCGATATATTCGATCAATTCTTTCGCAATACGAGTAACGTACGCCATTTTCTCGTTTTCTGACAACTTTCTCTCATAATCACGACTAGATGTTTCATCTTCTTCTAAAATATCCGATAATTCAATACTGTAAGGCCACTCTGCATATTGCACAGGTTTCGTATATGCATTGAAATTCTCAATATCTTCTTGATCGCTCATAGTGTCATCATCAAACATGATTCTAGTGATTCGATAAAAGTTTTGCACTGCATCTTCGAAAATGTCTTCTAAATCTTGCTTAACATGACTCAAATCGATTACAGTTTCCGAAATTCGTCTCGATTGACCATCATCATATTTATCAATGACCGTATCTTGAGTTTGTGTTAACGTGGAATCACTTTTGGTTTTGCTTATATCACTGAATGTTTCTAATTTACTTATTGTGATATCTGATTTTGATTTTTCACTTAAACATGGAGTCATTGATGTTGATTTTGGTTTGTCCTTTTCGTCAATGTATTTCATTAACATTTCGACTAAAGTTTCATTAGATTCTTCTACTGGTGTTTCGTCAATATATGATATGTCTTTTATGTTGATATTTGACTGTGACAGGCTTATACCTTTCTTATAATCAACTTCTACAATCTCTATTACTGGTTTGGGAGATTTAACGTCGCCGTTACCGAACAGAAACTCCATTAGAGTAATTTTCTTCCCCTCTTTTTGATTTTCTTCATTATTACAAGCGCTGTTGGCTAGAAATTCGATTAAAGTTTCCATTTTATGTTCTAATTCAGTATTAACCATTGCAGGTACACAATTATCAATCTTATCATCAGTTGGACTGATTTCACTTTTAAAACAACTACCCCCAGAACTTTTACGTTCTTCCTTCTGACTTCTCACTATAGTAAAGAAGAAGTCTATTAAATTGGCGATTCTTCTATCACCTTCTTCTTCGTCTGACGACGTTAGATCAGATTCTTCTTTAACCAAAGGACAACGTTTAGGTTCTTCAAGTTTCTTGCTAAAAACCGTCTCTTGTATTACTTGAAGTAAATCTCTAGCAAGTCTTACTGGGGATTTTGTGTCTGTGTGAATGGGTTCATAGCCAGCTGGGGCAGAACGTCGTCTGTCTCTTTCTGTTCTGAAGAGATCCCATATGGAGCCAATCTCGGTAGAAAGAGACGCGCGATGGTGAGCTATACTTGTACCGAGTCGGCGGAATACCTGCAGAAAAAATTTGATGTTAGTTTTTTTGTATAATAGCGATTTTTGGTGGAAAAGCGCAATTGAATGTACATTACGGAATCGATATAAACGCAATATTCCGCTTTTTGGGCCTCTTCAAAACTAAACGCCTTTAGAAGCGTTGCAGTAACCACTACTAGTGTTCATACAATATTTAGAAGCGCAGTTGCAGCGCCACCACCGTGACACGCAAGCGCCCCTTTTGCAGTTACAATTAGCGAAGTAAAAATTGCTGAAGCGGCGTAGTAAACGCGCGTTAAAATACGCCGTGTGCACAGGCCGTAAAGCTTTTTCTTTATTACCCGTAAGGGCCGTTTACACGGGACCAAATTGACGAGCCATTAAGCCAAGCCTTTATTGGCGCCATGTAAACAGAGACAATCTATTATGGAGTGTCTCCAGATCAGTGATAAAAACAATCCACTAAATTAGAACGATTTCTAATGCAACACCTACTTTAATTGGCTTATGTAAATGACTTTGTGTGAACGTCCATCCTGAGCCACTACACTACAGTATCGGCGCGCCATGATGGCCGTTTTGACAGATTACAACAGCGAGGTCAAATCTCAATTCATTATCGAAAAAAAAGTTTTATATTTGTAACTAGTATTAAGGGGTGGCTGATTAAAAAATTTTAATGAAACGAAAATAAAAATGTTTACTTAATATAATATCGTCAATTCGAAACTGCTTTGTTTTGCATTAAGCTTTGACGCGAGTTTGCCGGAGGTAGAAGTTGTGCTTTAACAACAAATCGATGGCTTACTTTCTCAAACTCGTATCGTAAAAAGAGTGATTATTATCAAGAGATGACAAAAATTTTCTTTATTTTAAATTTCTTATCAAGGGTGTTAATTTGTATGCATTACTTTAAGAATAAGTAAAAGCCAGTGTGTGAATATGAAGGAAATTTGATATGAAATCAGTACGCAAAATTTGTATATACAATCACTGACTTACAATTATATGGACGTCGGGTCCGCGCTAAAAAGTGTCCGAACTTATAGGGCGTTAAAATCGTATACAGAGCGTCATTCACGCTTTAGTCTTCGTTTGTTCGACTGACAGCGAAGCAAGCAAAATTAGACAGTACTGCGATAACATTACAATTTAAATTCAACGTTTTAGCTTTTTTATATTCCTTTACATGTCGCTACGTTTAAATAGGTTGACTTGGGACATTTTTTTCGTGGTTTTTGTATTAGACCCGTCGTTCATTTATTTGTAAGTCAATGTATACAATCCATTTTTTGCATTTCAGTAACTATGTGCTTTAAGATCCGGGTTTGAAAAAGTAAGGCTACGAAATGCCGAGTTGTGTGGTAAAATTATACATTCCATAAACCGTCACGTCACTATTGACAATAATGTACAGCAATGAGCTCCTTCAACGTAGTTATGAATTAAGAGGGAGCAGAGGAAAAATTCCTAATCTTCGATTTGATTTTAGAGGGGTATATCCACTTTGAAGTTAAAAATAAAATATTGTATGAGTAACTATACGATATATTCAAGCGTAGACATTAATCAGAACGATAAAACAATAAAGTTTCCTCGATAGATAAAAATCACGAAATGACCTCTAGTTTTCACATTTTTTCGATTCATCCTCGAAATGCTACAGGTTATTAGGACAAAAATTAGATAATTAATTATATTTATGCATGATCGACAACTGTCACTACGGATTTTTTTTAATACCTTTAGTTTTAGAGTTATTCCGCTAAAACGAATTTGGTACTTTTAATGCGCAAAATTCAACATCTCCTGTCGCATGTCACGCTAACTTCAGGCATATATTTGTTTCACAAATTTGGGCGGAGCCAACGTCAAAACTTTTTTGGCATGAGAGCTCTTAATACGAAACTTGATGAGCGGACAAACGTCAAAACGGCCATCATAGCGTGGCGGAGCTGTAGTTTGCTTTGCCTTTAGAAAGAATCTTAAAGAAACTTATTGTAATATTGGCTGTAGTGTAGATGTACGTTGCAAATTTTACATTTTTCAATATGCTAGCTTGGCTTTGTAGAATCAGGTCGTAAATTGGCCCCGTGCAAATGGGCCATTACTGATATTGGGCGGCTTTGCTGTGAACTTTGGAATAGTTGGAAAATATTTCTAAAATTTAAATCAAAGTAAGCATAGTCATGTGCGCAGAATCGATCTCTCTATCTACGTTGTAATAAGCAGCGTTTTAGCTTGTCTATGAAGATTTTAGTTATTAATACAAAGATCGAACACTAACCTTTGATCCGTCTAGATTCGGACCAACGCCTTTAGCATACCGTGCCTTACATTCGTCCAACTGAGCTACGGAACGAATTGGCAGATCTTATGAAGTTTTCTATGTGCTTGTTTTTGACTTTTAACGACTGTTTTGCCGTAGTGCCATCTGTAGAAACTGATCGACGGAAATTTTCTTAGTGTTCCACCTTTGCACTAATAATCATAAGAAACTAGTGGAGTAATTCCACAAAAAATAATTGAATATCATTGCAGTAAAACAACGTGATATTCAAATAATTTAATATGAAGCATCGAGTATATAACCAGAAATAGAGACGAAATAAGGGCCATACATTCCTGGTTGTTTGGGTCATACATTTATCACTGACAAATCACTTATAAATATAAATATCAACCCTTGTTTTCGCTGAAATCACAAATTAGAAAGCTGAAATAGTACAGCGCCAACAACTGACCTGTGTGTACGTCTCCGTATATTCCAAAAATATTCTGTATTTATTGTAATAAAGATAATATCTCTAATAATGACGGCTGTTCTATTCGGTGGTGTGGGAAAAACAGCAAAACATCTAATTACAAAACAAACGGAATCAAATTTCGTTGGTAATTAAATATTCAATATGTAATTGAGTGTGATTTAGAGTTAGGTATATATATTTGCGTGTGATGCACTTTGGTGGCATGGCGTACTGGGCTGCGATCGCTCACCATATGGTACTGGCAGAAAATCAGCACTGTTTGCCTTCTCTTGGTCTACCGTATTTATGCTGAGTCAGGGCCATTTCAGCACAAACTGTAGTCATAAGTATTTTAAAATTTTATCAGTTGTTATAGTATTTGTTTGTTTTTCTCACAGTATTTGTTTTGTCTCGCAATATGTGTTTTGTATAAATGTGTATAAAATTAATAATGAATGTTCTATGTGCTTTTATGTTATACTCTGTGAAGTGATTGTAAATGTTTTGTTTCTGTTTGTATTTGTGCTGAATAAACGTGTTATCTATCTATCTATCTAATTTTGCAATTTTCCTCCATTATAGCAAAGCTCAAGTTAACTGGTCGATTTGAGGTGAAACAATCGACATTTCGTCTCTATTTCTGGTTAAATACTCGATGATATGAAGTAAGAACATGTTCTAAAATCTCTCACTAGATGTCACTAGTAGCTCAGAATGCCAAAAAATCCAGTACAAAGATCTTTAACAAAAACCGCACAGGGGAATTTCGACAACTCGATAACTTGACCCGTAACTCGGTTGGCAAGAGCATTACTACGGTGCAGTATGGTTGGGCTGAAAAAGTTTTTCTATGTCGCACTGTTAATACAATAGTGCACTAACTCAAAAAGTGTATTTTTTTAGAATCGATGAAAGACGAAAGACTCACTTCTCGTGAAACGTTATTAAAATGTATGTATAAGTTAGAGTTTATTACAGACATCCTTTGACTTACAAATAAATGGACGACGGGTCTAATACAAAAACCACGAA